TTAAATCCGCAAGCATACGAGCTGTGTATCGTCGCAGTGGATTCGGTTCTAAGCAATGAGTTAACACTTCGAAAGCAACTCTTTCTGTGCCCACCAGTTGGCCTATCGATTCCCGTTCCGAATGCTTACCTAAACGGGGAAACTTGAGCAACATCATTAGAAATCTGTCAGTTCCTCAAGCTAGATTTGGAATAAGAAAGAAGAAAAGTCGTCCCAAAACCTACAGAAACAGAATCCCGAATTATTCTGATAGATGAGTGTCATACACGCTTTACATCCAGGCTTGCAATTTTCCGCTTCACGGATATCCTTGCCGAAATTATGAGCCTCAACACTAATTATTAGCCATGATGTACATAACAAGAGAAGGAGCGATGGCTGGGTGACGAACATTTTTTCAGGAGGTCTTACAAGTCACGGAGCTGCTTTTTCAAGCGGGTCTTTGCTGTAAAGGTTCTTGAAGTACACAAAAAAGCATTTCATTTCCGCTGCGCTTTTCTGGAAAGGCCAGAGGAAGGGTGAACAGCAAAGATCCCCTAATAGTCCCAGTCACAGCAGAATCCCCAGAGGTGACAAAATTCTGCACTCCTACGGATTTTGTTTTCTTGTATTCGTGTAACCGGTAGTAAACCGCGAGACTGAAAGATGGCTTGAGGATTTCAAAGGCTATCGATCTGAGAGGAGAGCGCTCTAGGCGAGAAGCATGAGGTGCTGGTAATCGAGTCCCGCCTGGGATCAAGTGTTCCCCTACCTCAGTCCATTCTTGCGATAATCTTCGTTGCGCGATGACTTTGGCGTTAAACAGCGATTATCATGATGAATATACAAAAATAATCTACTGCAATACCACAAGAAAAGAAGATTACGATCCTCAAGGGGAACAAAGCGGAGAAGACAATCGAACTTACCAGCTTCACCATATCCATCCCTGGGAGCGGAGGATCACAGAGAAGCGTTACACCACATTCTGCAGCAGCCTGTAATTAAAGTAAAACACGTACGAAAAGTGGTACTACACAATAATACCACTCTTCAAAAATGACCCTATAATTGACAAATAAAGCTGTTGTCAGCATTGAGAGTAACTAGAACAGCAACATTAAATGCAAAAGTTAGGGAAAGCCTTTTGTTAACTGATTTCCGATGAAGTACCTGTACTAAAGCGTATAGCATACAAAGTGTTGCCATTGAGAGCTAAAGCTTCGACGTCGTTGGCTGGACGAAATATTGGATGCCTGAATACTCACAATAGTCACAGTAAATGAGAGTAAAATAACTGATAAAGAGATTGCCAAACTGTCATTAGTAACGGCACATCATTTTTACTATACAGTGCGTAACAAAAGTATGTGGACACCCCAAATTTTGATTTTGCGAAACTGCCTTTAGATATTGCGATCTGAGACCATCACTGTTAAATTCCTCATAAGCGAAAGTATAGGAATGCACTACCTACGAGCACATTGTGAACTATTGAGCAATGATTTATTGTTTTGAAAAAATTTCTTAATAACAAAAGTATGTGGACACTTAACAAAAAACAAAAGTATCATGGAAATTAAAACTTGGTGCTCCCTCCCGCGTTCACTATTACTTCGAACATTCTGTCTGCTCGATGCTGTGGCAGATTTGTGATAGTGTCTTCGTCGATTTAATCCCATGCAGCCACTACAGCCTCCTTGAGGTCTCGCACGCTGTTGTACTGCCGATTGTTCATGTAAATTCGTCGAACCATAATTCCCCACAGGTTTTCGATTGGGTTGCAGTCAGGAGAACATGCCGGCCAATCCATCACTTTGATACCATTGCGTTGGAGCCATTTTATAGTAGAATTTGAAACATGCACGGCGGCGTTGTCCTGCTGCAGCACATGTGTCCTGGGTTCGGTGGCCTCTCGACTCAGAAAAGCAAGCGATTGGATTCGAGGAATCGCTTGATATTGTTGACTGTGTGCAGTAGTGGGACGCACGATGAGAAGGAGCTCTAACTTTCCGCTGGTTCAAAACACATCCCCACACCACGAACCATCAAGAGTCCGCCATCGAGAATTTGCCTCGAGAAAAGCATGGATCGCGACGAAGGTCTCTCGTAGTAAGTGGAATATGCATGTGGAGGTCGAATAGACTTTTCTTTAATCGGTGAAAGTAAGCCTAAGAAGAGAAAAGGATTGGGATGTGTGGCCTTTCTGATTTTAGAAATTTCTCAAAAAAGTTCACCGCTTGTCCCGACGGTCAGCAAGTTTGCACGACGAAGTCTGTCTCGCCAGTGGTGTTGGGAGTCAAGGCGGGGAGCTTTTCTTCACCGTCTCTCGTGTGATATGCTATTTGATCGAAGGCGCCATACGTCATTTTTGAGACCGGTAGATTAATTACAGCATGGATCTGTCTCATAGAAAGGGGGGAGTTTGAGGCGACCCGCGCTATTCTTCTGATGTCTTTTCTTGGGAAGCAGATCGAGGACGCCCCGAAATATGGGCTGAATGGTAGCCATCAGGATTCTGGAGGTATTTACCAACGCACGTCGCCGAACGTCCGAGCTGTCTTGCAATTTCTCTATTTGAGTGTCCAGCAGCACTGAGAGCTCGAATCTGAGATTGTTCGTCTTCGGAGAGAGTACTGCCACGACGAGGCATGAGTACAGATTAATGGGGGAGCAGAGACGATAGATATGGGTTGCAGATTTGGAGTCAAACTTTGAACTGTCTCAGGTGTCCATATACCTTTGTATTAAGAAAATTTTTTCAAAGTAAATAAATAATTGTACAGTAGTTCACAATGTATTCAGAAGTAGTGCATTCCTATACTTTCGCTTATGAGGAATCTAACAGTGATGGTCTCAGATCGCAAAATCCAAAGGCAACTTCGCAAAATCAATAATTGAAGGTGTCCACATACTTTGTTTACGCCTTGGTAAATACTGGAGATCCTGAGATTGGGTAGGGGCGGGCTGCATTCTTTCAACTCACCTGATAGGTAATCTATGCTTCTGGTAGAATATTCCCGATGTTGACACAAAACCGGCTGTCGTGTCTCTGTCGCAAGCACAGAAAAGATGACAGTTTGTGCAAGAGTTGAATATTCCAACGAGTACCAGTTCGGGCCATGTTCAATGCACGCGTACTCTGCTCAGGATATAGGAGCTCGCTCGGCTCACACTTTAAAAAGAACGGGAAACGCAGACAGTTGTGAGAAAGGGGGATAAAGAAGTTCGAAATTTGGGGTGGCGTTACATCCACGATGCTGTGACGCGCACAAAATAGCTAGTATTTCCGGCGCAATTCAACTTGGGGGGGGGGAGGGGAGAGGGGGGATTTGCACTTTCACTACTTCCCATCAATCAACTGTTGAGCCCTCGAGTAGAAATCTGCGAAATTTCGTGAAGCCACGAAGAGGCAACAGTTAAAGTTCGAAGAGAGTACTTGGCAGTGCTTGTAAAGCAATGAAAACGACGATGGAAAGTAGCGAAAGCGCAAATTGCCTCCCCTAGGCCGAACTGTGCAGCATTTGCTAACTATTTGGCTCGAGATACTGCACTACTTCCATGTTATATCAATCAGGTACAGGTGCGCATCGTAAATCGTAATCGTACCGGTATGTGACCAGAGTACAGCATCGTTGACATAGTCCCATCAGAGGATGGATTTGTGGAATGGACCTTGATGAGGAGGGGGGGGTCATTTGATCGATAGGGTTTCAGTGGTCTTGATGGAGGGTTGTTTCGGGGCGGGGTGAAATTTCATCCAGTTGTTGAGGGGAAATTGTTGGAAATTCTATAAGAACTCAGAAAATTTAGCAACAGAGGCAGGATAGGGAACAAGGGGGATTGAAAAGAGGGGGAATTTTTTCACACTGACCCAGCTATACCCGAAGTGCGACCGTCCCCGGACATTCCACGCTCGCTCTTTCACAACGAGTTAACTGATAAACGTCAAGAGTGCATCCACAAAACCCACTTCTTCAGCAAGAACGACAACATTGTTACTCCAGCGGCAAAAATATCTATTTCCGTTGTTTGCTCGTCGAACCGTAACAAAATTTCTGGTGCTCGGTAACCCGGTGTGCCGGCCTGAAACCATTTTATTTAGCAAGGAAGCAGATAAACGGAAAACTTTCAGATGAAATGGAGTAAAACAAAGAATCACCTTATTTACATGCTTGGCAGGAAGTTCTTTACAAACATCACATACTTCAGCAAACGACGTGCACCCACACTTTGGATGTTTGATGAAAGGTGGTCGTGTGGGCATTAAAACATTCATCGCTTAGCCGCTTACATCGTTTCTATAAGAAATTATTGAACAGCAACAACATCATCCAAGAAAAATTATTGAACAACAACAACATCATCCAAGAAGTACAAGGAAATAGGAACGAAGATTTATCACAAGGCTAGCGCGATGGCCTGAAGCCTGGACGACGAACGTTTCAGGAGACTTCTCGCGCTTGCAAGTCACAGTTGGGTGTGCTCAACTGCGATTTTGCAAGTACTAGTTGAATTATCGGCAGAAAGGAAAGCAAAACCGTCGATCAAGACTAAGATAAGGCCCCATACAGCGTGTCGTCGTACAAGCAATCAAGATGGACACCTATACAATGT